GATATGTCCCTTTGACAGAATGATTGCATTTCCTTTGGGTATATACCCAGTAATGGGATTGCCAAATCACGTGGTAGTTCTGTTTTAGATTTTTTTATGAACTTCTTTTCTGTTTTCCATAATAGTTTTACTGATTTATGTTTTCAATCAGTAGCATATGAGTTCATTTTTCTAAACATTTATGCTAGCTTTTTTTTGTTTCTTGTATTTTTGATAATAGCATTTCTATTTGTGTAATATGATATTTTTGGCTTAACAGCCCCAAATCATAAGCGACAAAAGCAAAGCTAGACAAATGGGTTGATGTCAAGCAGAAATGCCTTTGTATAGCAAAGGAAGCAATCAACAGAGTGAAGATACAACTGACAGAATGGAGGAACGTATTTGCAAATTATGCATTTGACAAGAGGTTAATATTCTGAATATATAAAGTACTCAATAGCAAAACACTAAATAATAGGATTTTTAAATGGGCAATAGATCTTCTCATAAGATATAGAAATGACCAATAGGTGTATGAAAAATTGCCCAGCATCACTAATCATCAGATAAATACTTTTTCTTTATTCAAATGGGATTCCTGGATCTTGGCAATATCATCTGGGAAGAGAAGAGACACTCATACTCTTTATTTATTTCTTTATTTGAAAAAATATATACTTTAAATGCAGAATGACAGAGAGAGGGACAAAGAAGAGTGAGCCTGGAGAGAGAGATCTTTCATCTGTTGGTTTCTCTCCAAATACACACAACAGCTAGGATTGGGCCAAGCTGAAGTCAGGAGCCAAGAACCCAGCACCTGGGTCTCCCATGTGGGTGTAAGGGACCCAAGAACTTGGACCATCATCTACTGCCTCTCAGCACGTTGGCAGAGAGCTGGGTTGGAAGTAGTATAGCTGGCACATTAACTGGCACTCTGACATAGGATGTGGCATCCCAAGCAGGCTGAAGCCCTGTTTCGCAGAGCCCAGCCTTCACACTTTTATCATGGAGATGATAGGCTGGGCTGGGCTGAAAGTGAGTGGAAAGCCCTCCTACAGCCCAGAGCTTTCACTTCTGCTCTCTTGCTTCCACTCAGGCCACTCTACTGTTGAGGTGCTGCTTTTCCTGTGTGTCCTTTTCACCTTAGATTTTGCTTCTACTACACGGCTTTAGAATGACCTCCTCCACCGCATGACCTCCTCAGAAGGCACCCCTTCCTATCTTAGGCATGCCAGTAATCTTAACAATGCTCCTCGAACTTTCAACTAGTGTGTTAGTAAGGGGCATATTCAGTATTTCTGTTTTTTTTTTTTTTTTTTTTTTAATTTCCTCAATCTATTGCCTGCCTTCTGTTGTAAGCAGGGGTATATCTATTCTGTAATGGATACGTCAAGCCCCTGATGTGCTGCTTGGTACTCCAAATGCTTTTAGCTTCACTGTACACCTACAGCAGTCCCCTTCTATCGTTTTTCTTACTATTGTAACTTTAGGTTTTAGCCATGACTCATTCTTGACATCTGTGACAGTCTCTTGCTTGAGGCATTGCAGAGTAGGAACTGGTTTATCTTCTTAGGATTTACAGAACACATTCTATTATATTACTGCTGCTATTATCATTCCCTTTGTCTTTTGTCCATCTTAATGGCCTGAAAGAGAGGTTATGTGCTTCGTAGGTATTGGTTCTTCGAGCAGGTGGCACATGACAGAGGCTGGTGGACTGGTAGGTGGAATGACAAGGTGAGTGTTGCCTGGAACTACTTTGTGGCATAATGGTTGGACAGGGTAGCAGGATATTTCAAAGGGCGTGTTCCTTGGCTTTAAATGCATTGTGACATAGTGTGAAGGTTTGTCTGCTCTACTTCATGCGGCAAAGAGGAGCACACTTGATCAGTCTCAGGGGAAGAGGAGGAGGCAGTATAGACTTAGGGCCAGTTAGCATCTGCTTTTCCCTTTGGAGTCTGAAACTATTATAAATTCTTGAGAGAAGAGAACTGAATTGGACTTGACATTGAGGAAAGTGTGAAGGTAAGGCTATGTTAAGAGCACTCTTTCAAAAGAGTTGAAATTTGGGAAACTGTAATGACAGAGAATCAAAAAATTTCAAAGCTACATATACTTGTATATACTTTGCGTGTTAAGGCAGATAGTAAAGTGGAGCTCAAGAAATAATTCAATTTTATATTGGAATTTACAAACGTATCTGAAAATATGAGTCACTATACAAGTGCTTTTTTGGGTAGTGGCTCAAGATGAAATACTAATTTTTTTGTCAAAATGGTGTTCATTTCAAAATGCAGTTAGCTATTTGGTTGAGATTACACCTAGAAAATTGTTGAGCCCCTCTGAGCTACTTTGAATTCTCACATCTTTCTTGTCTGTGATTTGGGTGGCTGTAGCACCTGGGAATTAACACCTAACACCTGCTTTAGATCTTGTGCTTGCCTAATAGTGTCTCTAAGTGCTGGAGGTTAAAAATGTTTCCCTTTGGGATGATGAGTAAGTGTGTGTATATGCTACGTGGTGGTCAGCAGGAAGGAGCCAATGGGAGCATCAGGAATGGTTTCATTGTTTTCAGCCCAGAGAATCAGCTGGTGCCATTAGGAGTGGAGGGTTTCTTTGGATGGAGGAAGAGTATGGATTTTGAGTATGACGTCTGGAAGCCAGTGATTGATCCCCGCAGCCACTGTTTTAGGCCTGGGTAAAGCACTGTCCTCAGTCCCCCCACCACAGGTGGGCAGATTGGGCAAGGAGGTCCCGCAGGGCCACTGCTTTCCTGCCTCAGCTTTCCCTCCGGAGTTTTCTGCTGACTGCTGACTGCTGGCCAAGTACGTTCTGCTGTGTGGAAAAATCTGTGCTCCTTTGCCTGTTTTTTTGGGGGGGTTAAACCTAATCAATCTTTGTGGTACTGAACTTGGCTTTCTACATTGCACCTTCAGGCAGTAGTGTAGCCGGGAACAAAAGATAGAAGGGTGGATTATGGTTTCTAAAAGATAAGTGAAGTGTTGTTTGAGGATGTGGCTGATTACCTTCTCTCCACAGTGAAAGTGAAGTCAAATGAACACCACTTCCATGTTCCTTGTAGCTGGGTCTGTTGAGTCCTGTAGCCAGGAAAATATTATAGGTCTGCTTTTATTTCCTTTTGTATGGATCTTTTAAACACAGAAAGCTTCCAACTGTTAAACTGTTTCTGATTAAAAGGCAAAGATACAGAAGTTCTATAACTGAAGTAGGAAAGGATCATTTTCCCCTTCACTGTTCACCTGCTATCCTACATCAAAAACCTTCAACTAGTCTCCATGCCAGTGGGTGTGAGGAAATAACACTGGTCCTGTCAGCCTTTGGGGTGGCATGTAATTAAAAATTCACAAAACTCAAGACAAATTTTCTGTAGCACTGACCTAAAATGGAGGGCACTTTTTTTTTTTTAAAAAAGATTTATTTATTTTGCTTGAAAGTCAGAGTTACAAAGAGAGAGGTCTTCCATCCAATGGTTCACTCCCCAATTGGCCACAACGGCTGCAACATTCGGATCATAGCTGCGCTGATCCAAAGCCAGGAGCCAGATGCTTCTTCCAGGTCTCCCACGTGAGTGCAGGGGCCCAAGTCCTTGGGCCATCTTCTACTGCTTTCCCAGGTCATAGCAGAGAGCTGGATTGGAAGTGGAACAGCCGGGTCATGAACCGGTGCCCATGTGGGATGCTGGCTCTTCAGGCCAGGGCGTTAACCTGCTGCGCCATAGCACCGGCCCCATGGAGGGCACTTGTGTTAGTTAGCCAGAGGTGACTCCAACATGTAGCAATAGTGGAAACAAAATGTACAATTTGATTTGACTTGATATCCATCTGTCTAAGTGAGACTATGTGATTTTAGCAGTAAGTCTCAAACTTTCAATGGCTGAGCACCCTAGAGGAATGGTTCTAATAAAATCTGAGGCAGGCTGGTTGACTGTCCTCTGTGTGGCAAATGTGTCATGCTAAGGTTGCCAAAGCAGGGGAAGAGTGAGATAAAGGCAGTCACGTAAGCTCTTAGCTGACTCAGTCTGGGAGTGACATGTGCCAGTTCCACACTGAGTCCATTAGCCAGAACTGGGAAGAAAACTAAAAAGATACCAACCCAACTGGAGGAGAGGCTGGGGAAAATGTGGGGAGGGGTGCCTAGATATTTGGTGAACACTGATGGTCTCTTCCACATACTTGATGGTTGATGCTTTGAAAAAATTAGTAGGCAATTTTCAATCATTCCAGTTTTAAACATAAGGTAAAGCTTTCATGTTACTTTTCTTCAAATATACTGCAAGAGCAACTGGCCAAGTACCTACTGTCATTAAATTGTTTTTTTGAGATCTATGTTAGAAACAGAGAAGTTTTGCCTGACAGTTGTGAAGGTTGGGTGAATTATTTAACTTCTTTAAACTTGTACCCTAATTGACAATGGAATAATCCCTCATTCATGGGTGAGTTCCAAAATCAGGTTAGAGATAACATGTAAACACTTTGGCAAAAGGGCAGGTGATTAGCCTAGAGATTAAGATGCCTGCGTCCCACAGCAGGGTACCTGGGTTTGATCACTGGCGCTAGCTCCTGACTCCAGCTTCCTGACAATGCAGACCCTAGGAGGCGTTGGTGATGGCTCAAGCACATGAGAGACCTGGGTTGAATTTCTGGCTCCTGGTTTTGGCTGGTGTTGCAGACATTTGGGTAGTAAACCTGTGGATGAGATTCTCTCCCTCTTCTTCTTCTTCTTCTTAAATAAATTAATTAAAAATCAAAGAATGAACAAGAAACATTTTGACACAGTGCCTAGTACATGCTAAATGTTCAATAAATGTGAATTTTAATTCTCCTTTGATTGATACTGATGATATTGTAATGGAAATATATGATTGTCAACAGTAATGTAGGATCCTCTCAAAGAGTGATGGATCCATGATCATCAGAAGACTGTACTCCCTGGGGACAAGTGATGTTTTGGGCAATTCCAGAAATGAAATACCCTCTGTTGTGTTCTTATTTTTTTAGGTCATGGGGAGTTTCAAAGGTCATGCCCTCCCTGGAACCTTCTTCTTTATCATGGCTCTTTGGTGGAGCACTAAGAGTATTCTGAAGTATATCTTTAGAAAGCAAAAGCGGACCTGCTACCTGGGTTCCAAAGCATTATTCCGTCGAGCAGAAATTTTGGAGGGAATTGTTTTAGTCTGCATGGCCATAACTGGTGAGTGGACACTTCTATGTTCAGTGTTCTCCTTCGGGGTATTTTCACATGCTGAGAGGTGATCCAATATAAAATTGAGATAATTGACAAAATGAAAATTTTATTAAAATATGTCTCAAACATGTTTAACTTCTATCTGATATACTTTGTTAGGAAGGTGCTACTTTCATGTTCATATAAAAGCCTATTCCTTTATGAATTATTGAAAGTAGTTACCTTGGTTGCCAAGTCAAGGTGGATTTTCTTTACAGAATTAGTTGGCATCTTTGAAATAATTTTATATCAAGTGTTCTGACCCCTGAAAGAATAAACTCTGTCAGAAATCATCTTGTAAATGACACCAAAGCAATCAAGTGATTATGAGCAAGCTTCAGTAATTACTCATTGCTGATAGGCTATAGAGAGGGTCAGGGCTGAAAAGACCTTGCTTCCTGCACTCACCCTTTCACTTGGTTCCTAAATTGGAGGAAGAAGTTAGGCCAGATGACCTCTAAGGCCTTTCCTTTGACTATGAAGGTCAATGAAATTGTCCATGTTGTTAGAGTTTCACTGTAGCCTCTTCCTTTATTAAAGGCATAACTTCCCATTTTCCCATTAGATTTCTTCATTCTTTATTCATGGCAATAGGTCTTGGCCATGACCCTCAAGTTACAGAGTGAAGGTTCTGGTGTCCTATTTTCACAATAGGGTGATTATAGATAAAAAGCATGTACTGTATATTTTTCTAAGAAAAAAGTTAGAAGGAAGTATTTTGAATGTTAAATATTTGAAGAGATGTTTTCCCAGACTTGGACGTTACACAATATAAACATGTGTTGAAATATTCCCTGTTACCTGTAAATATGGGCAGCTTTTATGTTGGTAAACAATATAACAAAGAATTTCCTTGCCAAATTCTATAGATTAACAAGTCAGGCAGCATTTCTAAGAAAGTTTAACTGTATGCATAATTAGCTGAACCATATGCTCTAGGCATCTGGGTATCTCAGTTATCCTTAACTGGGAAAAGCTGAAATTTTCAGCATTTTTATTAAGAAGCACACACAACCCCATCCTTTGTGGCAGCTACCCAAAGATGTGGTATCTTGGAGGGAAATACACAGCTTCTATAGGGCTGATCTCACAAATCCAAACTCCCACTTCATTCAAGATTTAGAAAAGGCAGCAAAACTAACACAGTCTACACTGAAGGTCTGAAACAGCTGTTTGACCAGTTAGTTATCAGTGACTAAATTTTGTTATCCTAACCAGCATCTGAATCTCTAGACAAGCCTTACGTTCCAGTGCTTAGTTGACGGGGAAGTCTGGAGACACACAGAGGACACTAGCGATGGGCTAATTCTCCTGTACCTTCCTGTGTTCTAGGCAAGGTTTTGGGAAGGTTGTTAACACTGTGATATGTTCCTCTACAGGCATGGCTGGGGAACAATTTATTCCCGGAGGACCCTACTGGAGCTTATATAAAGAAGGCCGGTGGAACCAAATCTTGGGCTGGCATCATTTCACCATGTATTTATTCTTTGGACTGGTAGGGGTGTCCAACATCTTATGTTTCACCATCAATTCACTTCCTGTCTCCTTACCCAAGCTAATGATGTCAAATGCTTTATTTGTGGAGGGTAAGTATGAATATTTTTCTGTACCTTTCTCTGTTAGTGGGTTTTGTCTAGCTCTGCGTGATAATATACCTTTGGGATCTTCGTGCAGTCTTGGTTGATATCTAGGCCATGGTGAGATATTTGATGTCTGGGGCAGAATGCCAAGGATCTTCCCTACTGGCTCATTTTGTAGAACTGGGCAAGCAGAGTCATTCAATGTGCTTTGTTCAGGTTTAATATCTGTGTTAAATAACCATACACTATGGATGCTTATCTCTAGTTTGTCTTGCAAATGGTTGTTATTTTGACTTTTAGCAAGTCAAACCTGAACTCAGTGAAGCATGCATATCCTCATTAGGCAACCGTTTATAGCAGAACAGCTTCCATCATCTACTAAGTAACCTTTTTCATACGGATATGGTTAAAATTCTACTATTACCTGATAGGTAGAGTCTGAAAAATTTGGTCACATGAAAATGTAAGGTCCTAATTTTTAGAGGTTACTGTTGGGTGAGGTTGGGAAGAAAATAAATGCTAATTGTTTTTGTTTATTACCCAGTAAGAAATTGATTATGAAACTAAAAAGTTCCGGGTGATCAGAAGGTAGTCACTTTGTAGCTATTCCCCTTGTCTTGTACATCTGAAGATAAGACTTTTTGCTCCATTTTCTTTGAGAACAAGGGCTTGAATAAGAGATGGATGCCAAGAACCAATGTCATGTTTCTAATTATCTCAGGTGAACATCTTTTCCTCTTTAAGTGGAAAGGATTAAGATGAGGATGGAATCTGTCCAAGGAGTGAAACCATGCAGTTAGGTGCACTTCCTGGGAGCCTCACATCCTGGGAGCTTTCACATGAAAGCCCCGCCTTATGGTTATGTCTGAATTTCCTTCCTCCAACTGGCTGACTTCCTCAAGGCAAGGCTTTGGTTTATTTATGTGTGTTCACCTTAATCACAGCTCCCCCGCCTTGTCAGGCTTGTTATTTCCCATCCTGCATAGAAAATTCTTAAGTATACTATGTTGAAAAATGTCATGATGTGTTGGAAGAGAGACTAACAGCTGGGGAGGGAAATAGGGGGTTACATTGCAAGGTTGCATTCTGAAGAGACCGTGAGGACTGTAAGTGCCAGAGTTGCATTTCTGTAGTGGGCATCTGCTCTTTTTGGACAACTGTGGGTAGGAAATTCTCGAGAGAGAGACTGAGAAAGATTGGGTGGTCCTTGGTTCTACTGAGAAAAGACACATTGTGTTTTCTCCTCCCCCAGCTTTCATCTTCTACAACCACACTCACGGCCGGGAAATGCTAGACATCTTTGTGCATCAGCTGCTGTTCTTGGCCGTCTTGTTGGCAGCTATTGTTGCCTTCATGGAGTTCCTGACCCGGAACAATGTGCTTGTGGAGCTGCTGCGGTCTAGTCTCATTCTGCTACAGGGGACCTGGTTCTGGCAGGTGAGTTGGGGCCACCAGTTAATGTATTTGTGTCTCTGTCTGTAGCTTTTCTATTTGACGGAGCGTTCTGCTCCAGACCCTAGAGACTGCCTTTAGTGTTCCACTTGTAGTGAGTGCACAGGCCTTTGAGAGGTCATGGTTCTTTGACTGGTCCCTTGGGCCCCATGGGAGCATTGTTAGAGCTGCTGGGTTGGAAGTGTGGTGTGCACCTTCTCATTGCACACCTGGATATGCACGGTGAGGGACCTCTGAACCCATGGTTTTGGTTACAAGCAGTTTCTGAAGATAAAGCAGCTTACAGCCTAATGGGTGTTGAGACTGAGAAATGCATGGAAGGCAGCAAAAGGAGGAAATTATTATTTATTGAGAAACAACTATATGTCAGCCACTGTGCCAAACTTTCGCATGCATATTGTTTCATTTTGCCTGTACAACAACCTGGAAGTTAGGTATTATCATCTCTAATTTAGGAATAAGAAGCCTAATGGAGACAATCCTAGGCTAAAGCAATAATGGAGCTGGGATCCAAATCTGTATTTATTTGTTTGAAAGGCAGAGTTACAGAGAAACAGAGAGAGAAAGAGAGAATCTTCCTTCTGCTAGTTCACTCCTTAAATGGCTGCAACTGCAGGAGCTGGGCCAATCTGAAGCCAGGAGCCAGGAGCTTTTTCTGGGTCTCCCACGAAGGTGCAGTGGTCCAAGGACTCAGACCATCTTCCACTGCTTTCCCAGGTGCATGTGCACAGCATTAAATTAGAAGTGAAGCAGCTGGGACTCAAACTGGCACCCATATGGGATGCTGGCACTGCAGGTGGCAGCTTTATCTGCTATGCCACAGTGCTGGCCCTTAAATCTGTATTTATTGACCTCAAAACCTAGGTTATTTTCCATTTTATGCTGTCAACTCTAGACTGGATGTGTTTTTGAAATAATAAATTTCAATCAGTGAACGTATATTTCATAGACTGATAGATCATAAGCCAATATAATATTTACAGATGTAAAGAAAGGTTAAGGACTGGCGCCATGGCTCACTTGGCTAATCCTCCGCCTGCAGCGCCGGCATCCCATATGGGCGCCGGGTTCTAGTCCTGGTTGCTCCTCTTTCAGTCCAGCTCTCTGCTGTGGCCCGGGAGGGCAGTGGAGGATGGCCCAAGTGTTTGGGCCCTGCACCCGCATGGGAGACCAGGAGGAAGTGCCTGGCTCCTGGCTTCGGATCTGCATAGCTCTGGCCATGGGGGCCATATGGGGGGTGAACCAATGGAGGGAAGGCCTTTCTCTCTGTCTCTCTCTCTCACTGTCTAACTTTATCTGTCAAGTAAAAAAAAAAAAAAAAAAGAAAGAAAGGTTAAGATGGAAAGTGAATGTGATCAAATCAAGGAAAACTTGTTTTTAAGATTTATTTATTTGAAAGGCATAGTGACACAGAAAGAGATATCTTCCACCCAATGTTTCACTTTCCAAATGGCTAAAATAGACAGAGCTGGGCCAGGTGGAAACCAGGAACCTGCAGCTCCATCCAGGTCTCCCACATGGGTGCAGGGGCCCAGATACTTGGGCCATTTTCTGCTGCTTTTCCAGGCTCATTAGCAGGGAGCTGTATTGGAGGCAGAGCAGCTGGAACTCCAACTGGCACCCATATAGGATACCACAATGCCAGCCTCGGGGATGACTTTATTTATTTATTTATTTTTTCGACAGGCAGAGTGAGACAGTGAGAGAGAGAGAGAGACAGAGAGAAAGGTCTTCCTTTGCCGTTGGTTCACCCTCCAATGGCCGCCGCGGCCGACGCACCGCACTGATCCGATGGCAGGAGCCAGGTGCTTCTCCTGGTCTCCCAGGGGGTGCAGGGCCCAAGTACTTGGGCCATCCTTCACTGCACTCCCTGGCCACAGCAGAGAGCTGGCCTGGAAGAGGGGCAATCGGGACAGAATCCGGCGCCCCGACCAGGACTAGAACTGGTGTGCCGGCGCCGTAAGGCGGAGGATTAGCCTACTGAGCCGCGGCACCGGCCGCATATATTTCTTATATACAGCTTTTTAATTTTTAATTTTTAAAGCTTTATTTATTTATCTCAAAGAGTTACAGAGGTAGAGGCAGAGAGAGAGGTAGTCCATCTGCCGGTTCACTCCCCAATTGGCCATAATGGCCTGGAGCAGGGCCAATCTGCAGGCAGGAGCTTGGATCTTCTTACAGGTCTCCCACATGGGTGCAGGGGCCCAAGGACTTGAGTCATCTTCTATTGCTTTCCCAGGCCACAACAGAGAGCTGGATTGGAAGTAGAGTAGTCAGGACGCGAACTGGTGCCCATATGGGATGCTGATGCTGTAGACCAGAGCTTTAACTCACTGTGCCATAGTGCCGGCCCTATATATCCAGTTTTAAGAACCTAATGATACTTTCACCATACCATCCCTCCCTCTCTCACTCCTATCCTTCCTCTTTGTTCCTTTCTTATTTTTCTTTTAATTTTTGCAATGATATACTTTTACTTTACTTTATAATCATAGCCTTAATCCTCCAATAAAAAAGAATTCAACAAACAGTAAGTTCAAGAATTATTTTGAAGGAAAAAAATATAGAAAAATCTTTCCAAGTACCCCATAATGTGATAAAACAGATAATTGGTCTATTTAACCAGCTTATATACAAAAGTTTTTTAAAAGTTATTTATCATCTCCTCAAAACCTAAAATCACTTAGCATAATGATTTCCAGTTCCATTCATTTTGTTGCAAATGCCAAATGCTTTTTATGACTGAGTAGTACTATATCATATATATATATGTATATATGTATATGTTTTCTTTATTCAGTCATCAATTAAAGGACCATCCATATCTTTGCTATTGTGAATTGGACTTTTATTGGAGATAGAAGCAGAGAGAGATCTCCCAACCATTGGTGCAGTCCTCAAATGCCTACAACAGCTGGAGCTGGTCCAGGACAAAGCTAGGAGTCAGGAACTCAATCTGAGTCTCCTGCATTGTAGCAGGGACCCAGCTACGGGAGCCATCACCTGCTGCCTCCCATGGTGCACATTAGCAGGAAGCTGAAGTCGGGAGCAGAGTGACTACTTGTACTCAGGCACTCTGATTTGGATATGAGCGTCCAAATAGCATCTTAACCATTGCCAACACCAGCCCCTACTTTCAGTCTATCCAAATATTATTTTTCTTTTTACTACTCATTTTTAGCTTATTTTTTTGTGATCCGAGAATTTGTTCTTTTTGAAATATTTTGATGCTTCCTTCAGTGTTTGTAGATGTTCCATGCATTTGAAAAGATACTATATCCTTTCTGTATTGAATTCAGGAATCTACATGGATTGACTATATCGAGTTTGTTAAAGAGCTTATTATTCAAATAAAGACAGACAAGTAGGATCAACAGGGAAAACCCAAGGAGAGTTGAAGGAAAGAATTGTAAAGATAAGAGCAGAATTAATTAAGTTAAATAATGTTCAGTTCACAATTAATATTTAGGTTCTGAAGGAGGAAGCTGAGGTGTTATCTCAATTGAGAATCACTTGGCTCAACGATGCCCCTTTTGACAGGGAAATAATATTTTCATATTTCCTCAAAAGCTTTTCAAAGGAAGAGCTGTGAGGTTAAAGTCTTTGGGGATAAATCTGTGATTATGTAGAAATTTTTTAGCTACCAATATGTCTAGGCTAGTTTTACTTTTCACTGGTGATCAGCCTAAATAATGTCTGGAGCCTTAATGAAAATGAGCATTTAATACCAGCCCAAACACACGCAGACAGGAAGTGAAGGGGTAGCCATAGCAGCTCATCTCATTCTTATATTCCTTGGACATAGAAGTGTCTAGAAACTTAGAAGAGCTTACTATGCTTCCATTTTTTTTTTTTTTTGATTGAAATGGTATAAAATGTTTACGGCCAGAACTGTCTTAAGCTAACAATATTTTGTTGTTGCTTTCACCATTTTTATTTTACTTTTGCTAATTATTCATTTATGGTTACTACCAGTGTTTAAACTATGGATAGATTAAACAGTTACCTGGACTATTGGAACCATTTGTATGGAGATGTGAACTGAACAAAGCAAGTACTTAGACTACTAATAACTCATTCATAAACAATTGGGTAATATGCAAATGGAGGAGGAGTTTCTCTTCCAGCCTATAAAAATTGGTTTTTTTCCTGGTCCACACAGCAGTCAAAATGTTTTTCTAATAATCCAGGTGCACAATGCAATGTATAAGAGAAAACAAAAGTCCTGTGTGGGAGAATATTTCAAAAGTTCACTTCCACCCACCCTTATTAGGGCCAAGGCTTAAGGACAGTCAGAAGAGGAAAATGCTCCCACTCTCTTCGTTTCTCCTTGTTTTGGACAATTGCTTCCACTGCATCTCCTAACTCCATTAATTCCCCCTCTCCTCAACCAGGAGATTCCCTCTGACTACCACAATAGCAGTGTCTTGCTTTTAAAAGGAAATGAAAAGTTCATTCTAAATTAGCAAAAAGGTCCAACTGAGCAGTAGTGGTCTGAGATCAGATATGGTAGTTCAAACACATGCTTAGGATTATAGTATTGAAATAAATGATTGGATAATAAGATGTAAAACAACAGAAAATCAGAATTTTCTTCTTTTTTTTTTTTTAAGAGGGAGAAGGGGAGAGGTTTTCCTGTCTGCTAGTTCATTCCCCAAATGGCCACAACAGCCAGGGCTGGGTCAGGCTGAAGCCAGGACCAGGAGTGTCATCCGAATCTTTTACAGGGGTACAGGGGCCTAAGCCCTTGGGCCATTTTCTGCTGCTTTCCCAGGCACATTAGCAGGGAGCTGGATTGGAAGTGGAGCAGCTGGGATGCGAACCAGATCGCACATGGGATGCTGGCATCACAGGCGGTGGCTTAACCCACTTCTCCACAACGAGGCACTGGGAAATCAGACTGTTAAGTATGGGAAACAGGCCACTGGCTTGCTGCCTATTAGAGAAGATAACTATTTACCTTTGAAATGTGTTACTAGTGAAGC